ATCATATGGTGTTTGTCTTTCTCTGACTTTCTTTACTTAGTATGATAACCTCTGGGTCCATCCATATTGCTGCAGATGGCATTATTTCATTCTTTTTTATGGCTGAGTAATATTCCATAGTATATATACACCACATCTTCTTTATCCATTCATCTGTGGATGGACTTTTAGGTCACTTCCATGTCTTGGCTATTGTAAATAGTGCTGCTATGAACATTGGGGTACATGTATCTTTTTGAGTTATAGTTTTATCTGGATATATACCCTGAAGTGGAATTGCTGGATCATATGGTAAGTCTATTTTTTAGTTTTTTAAGGAATCTCCAAACTGTTCTCCATAGTGGCTGCACCAGTTTACCTTCCCATCAACAGTGTAGGAGGGTTCCCTTTTCTCCACATCCTCCCAGCATTTATTATTTGTAGATTTTAATGATGACCATTCTGACTGGTGTGAGGTGATACCTCCTTGTAGCTTTGATTTGCATTTCTCTATTAATGATGTTGAGCATCATTTCATGTGCCTGTTGGCCATCTGTATGTCTTCTTTGGAGAAATGCCTATTTAGGTCTTCTGCCTACTTTTTGATTGGGAGTTGTTTGTTTTTTTGGATATTAAGCTGTATGAGCTGTTTCTATATTTTGGAAATTAAGCCCATGTCAGTCACATCATTGTGCAAATATTTTCTCCCATTCTATAGGTTGTCTTTTTGTTTTTCTTTGCTGTGCGAAAGCTTTTAAGTTTAATTAAGTCCCATTTGTTTCATTTTTGCTTTATTTCCATTAATCGAGGAGATGAATCCAAAAAAAATTACTACAATTTATGTCAAAGAGTGTTTATGTTTTCCTCTAGGAGTTTTCTGGTATCCATCTAACATTTAGGTCTTTAATCCATTTGAGTTTATTTTACGGTGTTAAAAAGTGTTCTAATTTAATTCTTTTACATGTAGCTGTCCAGTTTTCTCAGCACCACTTATTGAAGAGACTGCTTTTTTTCTCCATTGTATATTCTTGCCTCCTTCATTGTAGATTCAGTAAAGTCTGTTTCTCCTGCTCTTAGTGGCTCCTGATGTGGCTCCCTGTATGGTACAGCCTTCATCATGGATACCATCTCCCTGACAACCAGAAGATGGTGGTCAGCTGAGTTCTCTTTGACTCAATCTTTCAGCTAAACTTGTGGCTGATCTACCTCTATTGGTATCAGACCCAGCTATTAGCCTCCATTAATTGCTAGCTGATCACTCTATTGCTTTCAGCAACATCTTGAGATGTTAATTGCTGCACATTCTGATCTAATTAAAGTCAGGCCCTTTCACAGGGGCAAAGTACTGCCAGTCATTGAGGCTTGCTCCAATCCCATAAGACTCTTCTTAATTGTCTCTTTCTCTGGTTAAACATGTAGCTGACCTACCATCTTGCTTGTTGCTACTAATATGGAACTATGAGTGTCATCTTAATTGCACACCCTGAAGATCTCCATTGTTTTCCACAAAGTCCTTAGGCATGAACTCCCCACACTCTGTTCCAGATTAAGTCCATCTTCTTAGGCAGTATTCCAGAGCTCTCTATTTTATAGCCTCTCCCCTTGGGCAAAATTTCTGCACCATTGCACTGGATCTGGGGAGTGGAAACAGTGGCTGCCTTTCCTGTAGTTTCACTCTTCTCTACAAGTGGGATGCTGGGTAGGGATTGCTGTCACTGGTCTCCTCAGAATATCTCTCATAGCTAGTATTCATTTTTTTAATGATTTGGTTCTTGCTACTTTCTTATATTTTATCTTAGGTATTCTTTAATCATTATCTTCATAGGAGGGTCCACTGATGATTCTGGATACACTTTTAGGTCTCCCTGCAGTTGTAGATCATGCTAGACAGATAGCAGATATGCACTGAACACTTCTTGACAAATTTTTATTGCATTCTGAAAACAAGTTAATAAAAAAATTTTTCATTGGGTTGCTTCAAAGTGCATTAAAACAGCACTTGTCAAACCAGGCGGTGAAAACCAATCACCTGGGGATCTTGTTAAAATGCAGATTCTGTTTGGATAGGTCTGGGGTGGCCTGAGAGTTTGCATTTTTACCTAGTTCTCAATGCCATAGACTGTACTTTGTGAAGCAAGGAATTAAATGACAATACTAGGTTAGGAAGACTCAACATCATGAAGATGTTAGTTTGTTTGAGTTGATCTTTGAATTAGTAGTATTCCAGTTAAAATAACAAGGAGATTTTTTTAAAGGACTTAAATTAATTGACTCAAAAATTCTTTTGGAAAAATAAATGAGAATATCCACAAAATTCTTAATAAGTAAAGAAGAGGCCTAGTCCTACCAGATACTGAAATGTGTTATGAAGTTACAGTATTTAAAAGAAGCCCATGAATAAACTAGACAAATACGTGTAAGCCATATGATGAACTTTTGATACAGATGATATATGATATGTATATGAACATATGATGCAGATTATATATGATACGTATATGATCAAGTATCTGATAGTTTTGTTATTGACATATTTAGTTTATGATAAAGGTGGCATTGCAGTGAGAGACAACAGACTATTCCATAAATGATTTGCAATGACTGGGTAGCCAAGTAGGAAAATGTAAATTTGGAGCTATATAATACAGTGAAATTAATCCAGATGTATCAGAGACTTAAACATAAATAATAAAACCATTGAAGTCCTAAACTTATATAGTGGGAGCATTTTTATTATGATATTGGTATGAGGGGGACTTTCATAATGTGAAACCCATAAACCATGAAACCAAAGTCAGCTATATAAAAATACATTTTTTTCCTACATGACAAAAACCATCATAAGCAAAGTCAAAAGATAACTAACTGGGAAAATGTTGTATCTAGTATCACAGGAGCTTATTTTCTTAAAACATAAATAAGTTTTATAGATTAATAAGAAAAATCTAACAAAAAATAGTGGAGAAATGGGCCAAGAATTTAAACAGTTTACAGAAAAGCAAAAAAAAATTTTTCAACATATGAAAAATGTTCTTCTTTACATATGAGGAACACAAAATAAAGCTATAATGAGATACCTCTTTCCCTCTCTTAGGCTGACAAAGATGAAAAAGTTGGTAAGACTATGTTGAGAGAATGGAGGAAAATAGCCTCAAACATTGTTGCAGAAATAAAATTGGCTTGATCGCTATAGAAGACAAGTTAGCACCATTTGCCACACAGTCACATATGCTTAGGGTAGAGTTTCTCAGCCTAGACACTACTGACATTTTGGGCAGATAATTCTTTGTTGTGGGAGGCTGTCCTGTGCATTGTAGGGTGTTTAGTAGCATCCCTGACCTCAATCTACTAGATGCCAGTAGCACACCCCTAGTTATGACAAACAAAAGAGACTCCAGACATTGCCAGATGTTTCCTGGCAGCAAAATAGTCCTAGTTGAGAACCACTGCCTTAAAATAGGCAATTTCACTTTCAGTAGTTTACCCTACTGATATACTTGCATGTTTACCACATGTATACCTAGAAGATCAGTACTCACAGCACTGTTTGTTGTAATAGCAAGAGACTGAGAAGTTAAGTGACCATTTATGGGGACTTTTAAATAATGGTATGTCTACACAATGGAAAAGTATGCAGCTGTTAAATAGAATGAGTAAATTCTTTATGTGCTTATACAGAAGAATCTCCAAGATTTTTTTGAGTGGGAAAAAAAGTTGGGAGAATAAAAGTGAATAGAATTGGTTACTCTTTGGGTCAAAAAAGGTAAACATATACGTTTGTATGGATGTAGATTTCTAGAAGAATGCACGAAACCTAAAAATAGTGTATGCTTCTTGGAAGGGGACTTGTGTGAGTGGGACAGGAGCTTGTGACTTTTTATACCATTTGAATTCAATGTATTGCCTGTTCAAAACAATTGTTAAAAATTAAAAGGACATTGCTAATTCAAAAATCCACTCAAAAGAAAAAGACTAGTTAATTTTACTGCATGATAATTAAAAAAATAAAATTTAAAGATTCCTAAAAAATTGAATAACCATGTGATCCAGTAAGTCGTCTTCTGGGTACAGACCAAAAATAATTGAAAGCATGAACTTGAACAGGTATTTGTACACTCATGATTGTAGCAACATTATTTACAATAGCTAAAAATGTAGACGCAACCCAGGTATCCATTGGCAGATGAATGGATATTCAAAATGGGTATATATACATATAATAGAATGTTATTCATCCTTAAAAAGGAAGGAAATTTTGATATGCTACAACATGGATAAACCCTGAAGACAGTTCTAAGTCAAATTAACCAGTCACAAAAGGACAGATATTATATGATTCCACTTATATGAGATAGAGTAGTCAAATTCATAGAGACAGAAAGTAGAATGGTGGTTGCCAGGGCCTGTGGGGAGGGGGTTGTAGGAAGTTTGTGTTTAATGGGTATAGAGGTTCCATTGGGGAAGCTGAAAAAGTTCTGGAGAAGGATGGTTGATGATGATTGTACAACAATGTGAATGTACTGAATGCCACGAACTGTGCACTTAAAAATGGTTAAAATGGGAAATTTTATGTTACATATATTTTGCAAAAAAAAAGACAGGAAAATGAGATTGAACAAATCAAAGAGTACTTAAATGCATAATTTTTCCAACACAGAAACCCTTAAGCAATCAAAAGTAAAGCATATTCCTTGCTGTACACCAGAGATTGACACACCGTAACTCACTATACTTCCATTAAAAAAAAAAGGTAAAGCATATTCCTTAATAAAGGAATGAAGTGGAAGAAGGAAGAAAGGAATGGAAAAAAGACTTTCAGTCTGCACTTTGTGTTTCTGAACTGGATAAAAACGTCACTATCTGTAAAGAATCAAAATCTTGTGATTCCACGCACTCCTTTGAAAATGTAAATGTTATTTTTAGAACTACATTGAAACCGGGGAGAGATGCCAGGGCCAGTAAGTCTCAGGAGGCTGGAACTGCCAGGGAGCCTCGGATTTAATTGGTCCTTCCCCTCCCAGGATCTAGCCAAAGCCATGGCTCTGAACAAACAGCTCCGGAAGCAGCTGACGGAGTTCCGAGCACCGCAGGTGATGATGTACGTCCGGGAGAAGATCCGGAATGGGGACCTGGAGAAGACCATCAGGATGTGGGAGAGGAAAGTGGAGATTGCAGAGGTGAGCCCCAGAGAGTCCTGAGACCAGCAGTGTCTTACACCCCTCACGTTTGTATTGAGGATTTTGTTTTTTTGAGTTGACAGTACAGGTGTTTGGACAGATGTGATATATCTCAGCTCTTGCTTCAACTCATACCAATGAGAGATGGCTTTTTTTTTATTTTAAAGCTCTTTTTTCTTGTCAGGGATAGGATCTTTTCAGGTTATCAGGAAGAGACTCTGTAGTAATAGTGTGTTTTTAGTTGCTTGTTTTCTTAATGAATTCAGGAAGCGTCTGAGTCCTTCCCTGCACCATTGATAATTTAGTGATTGCTACTTATACATGGAGAAGACAGGTTTTTAAAAAGTGAGGTATTAATGGATTTTTAATGTCACTCAGAACCTGATTCCATGCATTTACACAGTTGTCACAGGTCTTTTCGTTGTTGGCTGACCCTGCAGCCTTTTCATGTGGGACCGTGTGCACAGAAGCACCTTTGCCCCTTGTGAGCTGGGTGGGAGAAAAGGGAAATGTGCAAACAATATGGTGGTGTCAAAAAGGACTGAGACTGCCACAGGCCAGGTTGCACACTGAGGGCACTTTAAGACATCCTTAGAGTAACTTAAAACCCAGTCAGGTCACTTGGGAGGCATGGCATTCTCACATCTAGACCTGAGTTGCTTTTTCCATGGTGCTTTCTCTTGCCTTTCCTGTGGTCACTTGGCGGTAGGGAGTAAATTAGGATCCAAACTTGGGCCCATCAGATCTGGAGTTGAGAAGGAGCAGAGAATCACAGCAGGAACCTGCAACTTCGCACTTCATGGAACAGAAACAAGTTCTTTAGAAGAATCTTTCAGACACCCCTAGGTGGTCCGTGTCTGCCGCATGCAGGCTGAAGGCCCCACACATGAGGCCATCTGCACCATCACAGGGCTGGATGTGGGTGGAATAGTGACAGTCCTTTTGTCCCAAATGACATTCTCCCCCTCCCCCTTTTTCCTTTCTGCAGATGTCCTTAAAAGGCTACCGAAAGGCTTGGAATAAAATGAAAACAACCAGTGAGCAGTTGCAGGCAATTTGCCCCCCTGAGAAACAGCCAGAGGGAGGCCATGGCTGCCAGCCAAGATGTGATCCATTAAAGTAATCAGCTCCTTTCTAGTTTCAGGGTCCTCTCACTGTCCCCCGTGCTGGCTGGTGCCCCCAGCTCTCCAGCCAGGCTGCCGGTCACCTCCCAGGCTACATCAGCCCCTGGGGAATATTTTCACAGTCTGGCCTCAGGAACCAGTAACACTGAAAAAACCACAGGGCACTCTGATGGTTTGACACTTGTTAGCCCACATTTAGTTCACAAGCACACATGAAAGTGACCTTCCCGCATGTGGGAGTGGGACAGAGGGTCGGGGGTGGGGGAGGGGTAGCCCGCCCAGTCTGTGCCGTGGGCCTGTCTGTGGCAGCCCAGCTGTGCAACTGTCACAGACACCAAAACAGCATGGTGAATACCTGGCACTCAGCGTTCTGAGCTTACTCTTTAGTTTGGAGGGTTAGCTCCTAGACTAAGATACCATTACAAAAGAAAACAAGCACAAAGAAAAACAAGATAATTTCTTGGGGTTGATGTAACCTGTTCTGACCTGAAGTAGACTCGCTCTCCCCCACCTCCCCAGTTCCCCCACCATAGTAGTCATAGAACACGGGTTGTGCGGCCATCTCAGAAGACGTGCCCAACTCCGTCGGCCCCTTTTCCCTGAAGTCTAGGCTCGCTCGAGTGCCATTTACTAGCCATGAATGCATGGTGGCCCTTTTTTGTCCTTGGAAGTGTACTCGGGACCATCCAACCTGGCCCAGCCCAGGATGTGTTTTCTGTGTCACGGCGGCTCGGGATGAGTAGCTGGGGAAGGGAATCAGGTTCTCCCAGTGGCGGAAGGGCGACAGGGGAGGGCTGGTCCTCTTGGTCTTAGACGTGATCCAGTCACTGTAGTCTTCCACATTGATGTACAGGAACAGGCCGGGGCATTGCTCACTGCCATGGGACAGGATTCCTTTCAGCATCCATAGATTCAGTTCCTTCAGCTGGCACATCATTGGGTTTCCTGGGTCCCCCTGTGACAAAGGACAGAAGGCTTCAGATCTTAGGAAAACTTGTTTTCTTTGTTTAAGTATATCCTTGTGCAATTTACTACCTGTTCTAAAAATGTTTTACACTAGTCCTCATTGGAAATTGGGTAAATCATGGGATACTATTTTTAATCTAGGTCATCACCACCACAAATTCCAACAAGATGACTTTTCCTTTATTATACAAACTAGGCTCCTGCAGTTTGCCTGTAGCTTCCTAGTTCCCATTTCATTTTCTTGCCCCTCTTCAGTACTTCAAATAAATCCTCCCTCTTTTTGGTTTCTCATTCCTCAGATGTTGATATTTCGTTCCTTTCTGGCCTGGAATGCTCCCATTCTCCCTTCTCATATTTTTTCTCCGTCCTTCCTTTAACCTGCTCCTCCCCACCCCCAGTCCTGCTTGGGTCCGAGTCAGTCTCCCCAAGGAGCATGCGCAGGGCTGGGTTCACAGCTTCTCCACCCCGGCAGCGGCCTGTCAGTGCACCTGCTCCCCAGCCCCTGCCCAGGCTCCCTCAGGAGCAGTCCTCTGGGCCTCAGGAGTTCCGCCACACAGACCTTACCTCCCTTCAGGTGTGTGGATAGAAGCCTGGTACAGCCTAGCACAGCCTTGACTAGACCATGTGACCCTGGCAGGTTACTCAGGTCTCTCTGAGCTCAAGTGGGGACACAGTACCTATAACACTGACAGACATACAAGTTGCACTCAGTAAACAAGTAGCTGCTACCACCCTGGTGTCTAGAAAAGGCCATCATTTTTATGTGAAAAGCTGAGAAATATGAGAAAAGTAATCAGATGGTTACTTGGTATACTTCACCTTACCTGTCGTGCCCTCCAGACCTCCTCTTAAAGGAATACCTGTCCCCCAGCCTGTGGTCCACCTTGGTCCCCAAGGGCTGGCCAGCCACCTTCGACCTGTGTGACCTTCCTGACTAGAAGGGCTGGGCAATCATACTTTGCTCTCACTGTTTGGACCAAGGCATGGAGGGAGTGGGGTTGCAGTTGACAATGGGAAACAATCTGAACAGACTCGACCACAGGAAGCAGAGAGGCAAAATGGTGGCCGCCTCGGCCCCTGCCCATTCCCAGGCCTGGCTGTTCAGTCTTTCTTGGGTTTCTACACACACGTAGCCTCTTTCACTAAACCTCCCTTTTTCTGAGGAACCAACACCAGAACAGAAATGCAGGCAAATAGGAGAAGAAGGGAGTGACTGCCAGCAGGGCCATCGGCAGGCACGCTCTGTAGGGCTACTGTAATTCCCACGAGGATGACATGCTGTGCCTTTCGTTAGATGGAAGGGAATGCTTTCGTGTGGAACTCTTGATTTTTCAGTTTTTCACATTCTCCTGTTTCTTCCCATGCTGTCAAACAGCCGAGGGTGGGATTTCATCCCTGGGCTCTGGCTGGTCATCGAGGACTGGTGAGCAGGCTCTTGTCTGCACCCCATGCTGTCTGCCTGAGGCACAGAGGCTCTCTGGCCAAGAATGGTGTGCTCTCCTCTCCGTTCACCAGTCCCACTCCCAGTTTGTTTTAACTGTGCTTTTATAGCTTGAGGAAGAAAAAGAATGCAGGACAAATAGTTTGACAAATGATTGTGCAGTGGACATCCCCAGCTATCGTGTAGTTTTGCCAGTTGCTGTTCCATTGAGGTGTAGAAGACACTGCTTTTTCTCTTTCCCGTAACCTGTCAGGCTGAGACTTCTGAAGCTCAAACAACAAGAACGTAAAGTACCAGGAGCAGCTTCTCTGGAGCAGCCCCACCTCATCTTCCCGGGGGAGCAGCCGTGGCAGAGAGGGGCCCTTTCCTTGCATGATCCTCAGCCTTGACGTTCAGCCAAGGGCCTAACAGTTGTGGGGGAAAAGGAGGGTGGTGAGTTCAGAGTGATTCTGCTTTTGTTGGGTTCTGGGGACCCATTAGGGCAGTCACTGAGCCTGGGTGGTTTATTCTACATGTGAGAAGTGTGGATTTAAGGACTTCTGGACACTAGAACACATTTCCTAGGAAGTATCCTAGATAGACAAGTCACTATTCGTTTGTCTGAGACGGTTTCCAAGCACAATTCTGTTCAAAAACAAAGAACTGTCTACAGGTGTGCTAGAGTTAAAAACCAATCTGAGCTTTGTGGGTAGTTTAAAGAGGTGATCATTTAAAGTTTAAGCAGCTTACTATATTCCGCTGAATCTATGATGCTCTTAAAAAATTAACATCTTTGAAATGGGGTGTGTCTTTTAATCGGTTGATTTCAGAGTTTAAGTGACAGCATTTTTCCTTTCTTGGTGTTACATAAAATAATAGTACATTCTACAACTCAGCATCTTCGATTTGATGAAGTGTGGCAGTAGACTGATGGAGTGGCTGATGGCAGGATTTTGTTAAATAGCTACATCTTCTACTGTATTTTAACACATTGTCTAGTTTAAGAAGTTGTTACAGTCCTCCACCAGTAGCCACTCAATAAATGCTGAACCAACTTTGGAAGGGCAAACTTACTGCCCAGTGAAAGGCAGTCCTTCACAATAAAAGGACTTTAAAAAAAATGTCTACATATATATTTTTTCCCCTTTCTCTAAAAAACTCCCTAGATTCTCTGGGGAAAAAAAAAATTCCCCATCAGGGAATTCTGAAGGTTACTTAGAAGAAAGTGGTTGATCAGCATCTTAGACAATTTTAGGGTAGAGGAAGGAAACTGCCTGGAAATCTGGCAGACCTGGGTTCTCATCTTTTACATTTTTTTAACTATGTAACCCTGACAAGGCACACTTTCTCCAGACAGGGATACGAGGGGGCCTGGACAAGTGTTTGTGAATCGTAGACATCTTCCTGAGGCAGTAGGACAGCCACGTCCGTACAGCCCTCATCCAGGTAGAGGGCAGGACTTCTTACAGGGAAAAAATGAAAAACAATAACTGATGAGCAATAGCACCAGTCTACCTTCCAAGGAAGCCAAATACAGCGACCCTGCACTGTAGGTGTGCTCAAAGCATGTCTGCATGTGTAGTTTGGACTCACACTTTCAGACTTTTAGCTACTGAAAAAACATGTGACTTAGCCATGCTAAATCATGTCACACTTCAGTGTGCATTCAGCAGGCTGTTACTGGGCACTTGCCACCTGCCAAGTGCCCTTCACCCCAGAAACATGCATGAATCCCAGGTGACAGTCCCTGCCCTTACGGAGCTCACCATCCAGCAAGGGGGAGTCCCGAGGGTCCCCGAGAGGTGACCACTGCTTACTCTCAGCATGTTGCTTCTACTCCACTGTGTTCTTACCAAGCAGACAGAGTCAGTTTCCTGCTCCACATGATTGCCACATCCTGTTTTCTGGATTTTGTTTAAGGGACACAGTTCGATGTCTTTCACGGAGATTTTCCTCAGGATACTCACTGTCATGTGATTTCCTGTCTGGACCATGCAAGAGAGAGCCCAAGAATTATTAACAAGAAGACATCCCCCAAGTCAGCTCAACTACAACTCACATAACCAGATGGCAGTGAGTAGGAAATATTCTGTTAAACCTCTTTTCCTCATAGAAATCAGAGCCTGTGTCTGAGTTTTTACTGAAAAGTACCTTTGCTTTGACCTTGAATATGAAAATAGGCAGAGACCATGTTCACCCTTCCTCCACAGCTACAGAGGATGAATGCATCTCCCTGTTTATTTCCCAAGAATAAAAGAAAACAAGGATGGTTCAGACAAGAGGAGAGTCAGCTCTGGTTCAGGGAATAATGACCCCTGGCCCCTCTGTAACCTTGCACTCATTTCAGGCTGCCCACTGCCCACTGCCCATGTACTTCCAGTTTTGGTGTAGGAATAGAAGGAAAAGGACCAAATGTAAGAATGGCCACAGGAAGGGCAAGTGTTGGGAATCTTGACTGATTAGGTGAGGGTTTCAGCCCAACTCTAGAACCTCAGGCCATCTGAATTATTGAGCTAAGCCCTGGAATGGTGCATCCCAGCCAGCCCCACTGCTACCACACACACAGCCTCCTCTAGGAGAAGGAAAGCATTAACTGCAGATGTGGGATTCCATCCTGCCACCCAGCAGTTCTGCAAGGCTGGCAACATATGCAGCTTCCTGCCAAGGAAGCAGATGGGCCGGACCAGATCGTTGAAATGCATTGCCGTGTCTGTCTTCAGGAGGGCTAAGTTATTCTTCATTGTTTCATTATCAAATTCCTCATGGATGATGATGGTGTTGACTGGATATTCTTCGTGAGGAATCAGTTTTGCTTCCATCTTAGCTGTACCAACTATAGTGACATCGTTCTTCCTGGAGAGACAGCAAAGGAATCTTAAGAAGCCAAGGCACCAAGGAAGCTTCACACTTCCCTGGTTTCATATTTACTATTTTTTTGGCCTGAAACACTCATCCAACTCATCTTCCCTGGGCTAATTTTTACTGACCCTTTTGGACCTAGTCCCCAGGAAATCTTTTCTGAACCCCTAGGCTTACACCCATAGGATCTTGAAGATTCTTCCGTCTGACTATCATATGTCCCACCCCTGTAGATAATCTGTTATGTTATGGCTGATTATCTTTTTTCTATGCTTATTTATTGTTTTTTGTTTGTTTGTTTTTACATAGTTGTAGTCACACCCAAGATGTAATCTTGATTCTTGACTTTTGCACTTAACATTTTAACTCAAGCATCTTTCCATATTATTTACTCTGCAAATACACTTCAGAGAAATTCCAATTTTAATAATGATGGAGTTCAATTGAGTGTTTTCCCTTTCTCCTCTTGGGAATCACCTGAGGAACCATAATAATGAGAAAAAATGAAAACACCATAAAACTAAGAGACACTAGAGAATCCAAACCTCAGAATAGAGGAAGGGCTGACGGCAGAGGGAAGGACACCCAGAGTACAGGGGGTTACAGATGATACCTCGTGCTGCAGAGTCAGATAAAGCTGTTCAAACACGCTTCTCAGCAAAGAACTGAAAAGTCTTTGAAGAAATAAAACCATGACTAGAGTGAAAGCCAAATTGGAAGCAGCATAAAGGAGAGTAGAGACCACAGAAAACACAGTGAGGGACACAGAAGGTAGGCTGAGAAGACTGACTAAAATGAAATGGACATTAACAAAGATTTTTAAAGGCTAGAGAGGAAGATGACAAATATGGCAGTCAATGGAGAGTCAGCAGACCATGAAGAAGGTATGCAAAATAAAAAAACAAAAAAATAATTTCAAGATCTAATTTAAAAAAAGCTTTCCAGAAATAAGACTTGAATCTATAGTGTGGAAGGGTACTCCATATCCTGGGGAAAAATCAGTACAGAATGATCAATGCTGAGACATACCCTTGTCAGCTCCCAGCAGGAAACAGATGACATACTCAATAAGGTAAATCGAGGAAAGTTTAATAAAGGGACTCTTTACAAAGGTCTTGCAGGATGTAGGGAAATCATAAGGATAGTGCAGAATGCTGGGTTCCAGGTGATGTATGCAGCTTCCTGCTGAGGCAACAACAGGGTGCCCGGGGGAGGGAGCGGTCAGACAGAGCTGCAGGGAGTGGGTCACTTGGCTGGAGGAGGCAGCCTGTCTGCAGTACCTGTCAGGGAAATGAGGGCCCTGACCTCACTTCTCCACTCCCTCTGATCTCTGGTCAGTGCTCCCCTTGGCCAAAGCCAACTGGAACCCAGAAAGCAAGAGCACCATTTGGTGTACCTCCTGGGACCCAACAGAGTAGAAAAAAGTAGAGAGTAGATCTGGAGGAGCAAATGGGAGCAACTCAGCATAGCTAGTGAGTTGCCAGACTTCAGTGACAAAGAAGGAAGCCTTGGGGATCCACACAAAACCAGATTAAGTCAAGGCAAGTTTGGCCTCTAATTTATCGTCTAACCCAGGGAACTTAAGAGAGTGAAAGGGAATACTAACAATAGGATGTTAGGATAATAGGTGTAAACCAGGCCCCTCCCAGGCATACTAGGGTGTGTGGCCATCCAACTACAGAGGGAAAAATCAAAGTGGCTTCAGACTTCTCCACAGCAAGATTTAATACCAGAAGCTGGGAGGTGAGGGACATAGAATGCCTATTAAGCTCTCAAACAAGAGGCAGGTATGATCCAGGAATTCTATACTTAAGTGGTCATTCAGATCTAAGGGCAGCACAACATTTCTGAATATGTAAAATCCAAGGAAATATGGTGCTTGGGAGCCCTTTAAGAGACTACTTGAAGACAAATTTTAGCCAATTCTAGTGTTGAATGGAGAAAATCCAGCAAAGGGACTGTCAGAGTTTGGAATTCATTATAATTTGAGTCTAAAATTAAAACAAAAGAAAAACTTTTAAAGTTATAGGTTGGAGTAATAATGTAAACCCTGGCAATAATCAAATGGTGTAACTAAAACTGAAAAGAAAGTGGAGGTGGGTATAGACACCAATTTTCTCATCTTTTATAGAAGTCCCAATGTATTATTTGTTTACAGCTGATATATGAAATAACAAAGGTGTGCAAATATGTATGTGAATCAAAGTAAACATTAAAGTACATAAATAACCTATTAAAATTGGGTAGTCATGGAGAAGGAGGGAAGGGTGAAGAGACAGGATTTCTGGCACCAGCCACAGTAGAGTCTAGAGAGGACTATCAGAGAGGAACAAAAGATTTAAGTGTCTTCCATGAAATGATAACTTTAAGAGGGACACCAGAACAAGAATTCAAACTTTCCAAATTCGTCAGAAGAGACATACAAAACAAAGGCCATATATGAAAAGAAAAACACAAAGCAATAAAAACAGAAAGCATAACCTAAAATAAAAACAAAAAGCAAAAGTTTCATTCTGAACATGAATTCAGAGCAGAAAAGCTTGGAGTAAGACAAAGAAGGGCTTCTAATGGTGGTAAGGAATTCAGTCTACTGTGAAGACCTTAGTTGTAAATATCTGCAGCAAGTGACACAGTGTTCACAGAGTAAGAATTCCAGGAAACAGGGGAACAAGAAGCCAGAAGCTTGTAATTTGTCTCGGTCAGCCTAGGACAGATCAAGTGGACTCCCTGCCCCCAATTTTATATATTAAATTGTACACCCAGGGTGGAGAATGAGCTTTTTAATTTACCTGTGGAAATATTCACATGGACCACATAGTAGACCACAAAGACAACCTCAGTGAATTCCCCAATAGATCACCATGCAGTATAACTCTAAATCATGTTAGAAAACAAAACAAAACACCCTACCACCTGGATATTTTAAAACAGTCCTTAATAAAACCCAGAGTCAAAAAGGAAATCAAAACCCAAACAGCAGACTAGATAGAAAATAGCAGTAATGAAAACACTACATAGAAAGTCGAACTTCTCTGGAGGGCTGGTTGGCAGTAACTATCAAGATTCAGTCCAACATTTCCGCTCTTGGGTTGTTTGTGCTACAACATACTTGCACGTGTGTGAAATAACCTATGTACAAGTACATACACTGTACCATTTTTTGCTACTAGTGACAGACTGGAAGCAACTTAAATTTCCATTATTAGAGGATTATGTAATTATGGTACAACCATCATGGGATACTGGGCAGGTAGTGGATGAAAATAATGTATCCTTCTCTGTATGGATAAGAAAAGATCACCCAGCATTCACGACAGAGTGAAAAAAGCTGAGTGGTATAATGTGTATGGTGTGCTACCAGTTGGGGGGTGTTATGGATGAGTTGTGTCCCCCCCAGATTCACTGGTGAAGCCCTAACCCCCAGTGTGAATGAGTTGGGAGATAGGGGCTTTCAGGAGGAAGTTAGGATTGATTGAGTTTGTGGGGTGGGGCCCTAGTCCAATAGGACTGGTGTCCTTATAAGAAGAGACAGCAAGAGTGTGTGCACACAGAGGAAAGGCCGTGGAAGGACACAGAGAAGGCGGCAATCTGCAAGTCAAGGCAAGAGTCCTCAGGAGAAACCAGCCCTGCTGTCGCCTTGATCTTGGACTTCCAGCCTCCAGAATGGTGAGAAATAAATTTCTATTGTCTAAGCCACTCTGTCTGTGGTACTTTGTTGTGGCAGCCCCAACAGATAAATACAGGAGAGAAAGAAAATTCTCTCTCAGTCAATAGATATGAGTCAATATAGAAAGACCTATAGGTATATAGCTATCCATGAGTGCACTGAGTATTTCAGGAAGAATCCCCAAGAAACTGGTGACGGAAGTGGCTCAAGGAAGGGAAATGGTGAGTGAAGGGCAGGGGAGGGGAGGAGCTGGTTTTCATTATACACCCTTTGGTTTCCCCGTAAACATCATAGTATTAGATGTATTTTCATTTAAATGCATTATTTTTAATTTAAAATTTTAATTAAAAAATAAATCATGGGTTAAAATATTCAGCAGCTGCACAATATTCCACCAGGGGTTTATACTGTAATGTTTTTAGCCAATTATAGTAATTATACTCTCCCCCCATACTCTATATGTGTGTATATATATAATATATAAAGTATATATAGTATATCATATATAGCTTATATATGCTATAATACATAGCATGTGTCATATAGATAGATCTATATATAATTATATGTAATATTTATACACTATATATCATACATAACATATGATAAACTATATATAAAAGAGTAACTATATCATAATTTATTTATCCATGATAATCAGACATTACATTTCAAGGGTTTTGTGTCTAGTTAATCATCCTATGAACAACTTTGTGTATAAAACTTCTCCAGTGATTGAAATTATTTCCTAAACGTTGATACCCAAAAGTGAAACCATGGAGTCAGAAAGTGAGATGTTTTACCAAAAGTTATTCCTTTAATAGCATGTATTGGGTTTTTTCCCCTAGTTTAAAAGAATGCCCATTTAATTGTGAAAAAGTTGGAGAATACAGAGAAGTTCAAAGAAGAGAAAAGAAATCGTGTGCATTCTGAGCATCCAGACACAGGCACTCTTCAAGTGTGTATTTCCATTAAGTCTTTTCTCTACGTGCATATATTTGTGGCGGTCACACTGTTAAGGCCCGAGGTAAGTGTTTTAAGGTAAGGGCTTAACAAGAGGTAGAGAGCAATAGGGGACCTCTAGTATCAAGAGTCAGTGCTTTTGTGATTGTAGAAAAATGGGACTGAATATCCTTCCTGTAGAGGTTGGAGAAACGATCATTTCACTTTGCAGGTGTGCAGCTGGCTGTCTTTACAGCAGAGAACACACAGACTGTGCCAACATTGGTGACTGGTGGTTTTAAGACCCCCAGACTCACTGAGCTGAGCTGATGAAAAGCCCTGTTGCCCCGTCACCAGGAGTCCACCTTCCAGGCCTCCCCAAGCTGAGCAGGAAACAGTCCCCCACCCTAACCCAGTGGGCTGTGAGGACCAAAAGCAGGGGTACTGGCCTGTTCTGTAAAGCAGATGCAATGCTGAGGATCCAGAACTCACTGAGGATGCTACCGAAAGCCAGGTGGGTGTACTGGGAATCCTGCAGAGACACTACCCACGGGAACTCTTTGTCTTTGACCAGCCCCTCCTCAGAAGTTTCCACAATGTTGATGTTCTGGATGCCGCAACCTGCAGGGTGGGGTGGGGTGCGAGGGCCTCACTGCTGGGGCAAGGAGTTGGAGACCCGTGGCTACCACCGCCAGCACCAGACCTCAGGGCCTGCTCGCTCTCCCACTGGTTCCCCACTCCTTCAGGCTCTCCATCCTAGTCACCAGTAACTCTACCACCACCGCCACCCCCACCTCCCGTTCCTTTCCTGGTGGGTCTGCTTCCCCATAAAAGACGCTTGGTGGCATCTTTGGATCTAAAAGTAATGTGAGGCTACTGATAATCACTCTCATCTGTTGAGCTCTTAGCACTTAGCAAATACGAGGCAGTGTCTGAAACCTTTTATATCCATCAGTGGTTCTTAAGGTATAGTCTGGGACCTTTGCAAGTCCTCAGGATCCTTTCTGGGGTCTGTAAGATTAAAACTGTTTTCACAAGCACACTAAGACAGTGTTTGCTTTTTTCACTCTCACTCTCTTGCTGGAGTACAGTGGAATTTTCCAGGGGGCTACATAATGTCATCACCCTGATGATCAATAGCATGTGTGACCCCAGATATTCTTCTGTTTTAAATTTTTCCCGATTTTAATTTCTAATATGCTAAATATGGAAAGATATAGCCCCATAAGAAAAAACCCTTTTGGGGTCTCAATAACTTTAAAGCGTATTAAGGGGTCCTGAGACCAAACAGTTTGCGAACTGCTGATTTCCACTACTTCATACAATTCCTCCAGCAGAACTAGAGGCGGACGTTGTCATCCTCAGATTGCCGATAAGAAAATTGCACTTCAGAGTGGGTAAGCATTACACAGCTAGTAGACTGTAGAGCCGGTCCAGGTGAACCCAAACTCCACACACTCAACCCCTCGCAGTCTGCGTTGCAGCGGCATTTCACATCCTCATATTTGCCCTCGCTCTTCCCGCTCAGACTGTGGGCACGTGCCACTCCCCCCACCAATCACACAGTCTGGTTTGTTTGCCCCTGTATCCCTAGGGGCTAGCACAGTGCCGGGCACGTCATAGGTGCTCAAGAAATTATCTGGTGAACCAACAAAAGCGTTCAGCCAGCCAAGCACTCCCTGACGGCTTCTTGTCCCAGTGCTCAGAGGAACCGCCCAGGCCTGCGTGGTTTTTGCCTCCCCAAGCCCTCAAGTGGATCACCTCCGAATGGACAGTCTCTTTGCAGTCTGGTCTTTGTTTCAAATAAGAGTTAAATATGACTCAAGTTTTAAATTGCATCCTGCGCCTGCCAGCCCTGGCTGTATTGTCCTATGTGTACACATCACCAAAGACAGGAATTCGGTTCTTCTCACGGGACCTCGGCAGTCTGTGGTGAACAAGGCACTCACCGATTCTTCCTACCCCAGCAAGTACCTACAGGTGTGTGATGACTTTTGCTTTTCCAAAGCTCTAGTTGGCTGGTTCATTTGACCTTCTGAAACCCTTGAAAGGCCAAGATATAATGAGGAAATCTGACACAGAGGTGAAACGCTCACTCTGGGTCACTTGCCTGAGGCTTTTTACGAGGGGGAGAGGCACGCATGGAGCTCTCTCATGTCTCCCATCTAATTCCAGGAAGATAGGACAGAGCCAGCTGGGGTGGCAGTGAGGTGAGGCAGAACCCGCTTTAGTCAGGGACCCCTCCTCCATCTGCCCCTGTCCAGGCTGGACTCTTATCCCCGGACAACCTGGAGGTCGGGGAGGGGACCACGGCTGCCACTTCTGCAGACGGATGCTGGGCAGCTTCAAAGGCACCTCCCTGAACCCCTGCTCAGCCCTGCAATTGCGGGTCAGTTTAGAGGTAACGATGAAGGCTTAAGGATAAAGGGCTTCACTGGAACGACGATGCTGAACACAGGGAAGGGCTGGTTCCCAAGTGCTTAAGACACATCTCGTGCTCCCAACCTGACAATGCCTGACAATGCCCCCAGGAAGAGCAGGGCAGGGGTTGTGAGTGGGGAGGCAGGCCTCACACTAACCCCCTCTGCCCAGGGGGCCTCTCGGTAGCCTCAGGCTTCTTTTCCTAACCACACTCTCACCTGAGGATTAGCCCTGACATCAGGCTGCTGAAGCCAGTTTCCTACATCCACGCCCCACGTTTCACTTCTTTGCCTGGTTCCCAGAGCAGAGCACTGTGAGTCACCTGCCCCGAGTCCCTCTCTGAACATGAAGGAGCCTGTCCTTTTCCAGGATGATTCCCCCTGCCATGTCACACGATCAGCTGAAGTCGTTACAGAAAAAAGCCGCACACTCACTGGCAGAAGCGTGGGAGACGCAGAGCAGCACTAGGAGCATTCCTCTCACGTCTGCCATCCCCAAAGAGAGCCACAGCAGACACCATGGGCAGCTGTGAAAACAGGACATCCAGATGCATGGGCTTTTCCTCTCCCCCTCATGGTGGTGACTTTCCCCCAGCGTCGGAGTCCCTACCCCTTTGCTTTCCACTGACCAAACTTCTGAGACATGGGAAACAGACCTGTCACGTCCCTATTTCTTGGTTCCGTGCAGTAAAGAGGCAGGGACCCACTGCCCAGCACCGATATTCAGCAGGCGATTTGTAAGACAGCCCAAGGAGAGGAGGCAGCCCACGCTGGTCACTTTCCTCCTCAGTCCAGCCAGGGTCCCCGGCCTTCCCACAGAGTTGGGTCTTAGAGAAGGGTCATTTTTTGACTCGTGGAATTCAACCGTTGCCTGAACTCTGTAGCCCTAAAAAGCTGCTGAGAGAAAAAGCAGGGGTTCAGGGAAAGCCCACGCTGGTCTTGCCCCTGCGACTAAACTCTGCTGGCTTACGTCATGCTGGGATTTCTTTTAACTGGTGACAGTTCATACTTTTGCTTGGTAACAGCCCCAGTGTGTTGCTCAGTAAATTCACACAATAACCCTACGAAGTGGACACTCTTATCACCCCCATTTTACAGATTCAGAAACTGACACTCAGAGCCGTTGAGAATCCTGCCCAAGGCCACACGGCTGCCAGGTGGCGGAGCTGGAATGCAAAGCCCAGGCGTGCTCCGCCATCCACCACACTGCCAGGCCTACCTTCGCCTCAGACGCTGCAAGACAGGCCAAGGAACCCACGTGTGCCATTCTCAGTCACCATGGTCTGCTCGTGACACCACATGTTTCTTGTCGTCAGAATGGTTCTCAGAGTTCTTCTGTGAACCGCTCCTGCCAAAGGAGAAATGAACTCACTCTGACCTTACACCGCAGAGCTCAACAGAGGGATTCCTTCTACCACCTTAGGAAGAATGTTCCATTGTGGCATCACAGTTACCATGGTGTCACCAAGCAAACGTCTGGACAGGGGAACATCAGAGGAGCCAGGATGAAAAGCCTGCCTGTTTCTTAAACTTGGCAGGGCTGTTCTGGAAGCCCGGCTCTCCCCAAGTCTGGCTGAGATGACATCCCCTTTGCTAGATCAGAGAGTCCTGTCCAGTTGTGGCCATGGTCTGTCTGCCTCCTCAGCACCCGCCCTGTGTCTATACGAGTCTGTCAGGCTGGATGGAAGAAGCCCACAACTTGGGTGGGTTTGGTTTTTCCAATCCCCGACATTCTTACACCCCTAGTGTGGCTTCCTGGAGGCTCAACCCAGTTTTCTTTAGCCCCGCAGCTGGCAGGTCCACATGGAGCTACCAGAAAGGCCCTGCCAGACCACAGGGCCAGATGGAGCTGCACTCTGACCACTATGAACAGCTTCAGTTTCAGCACAAATGCCAGGACTTCAGAGAAGTGTTGACAACATGGTGGTAAGATGTAAGTCCAGGGAACCAGAGGGTGCACAGGCTCCTGGCAGAGGCACGTAAATGATATTTATTGGACAGCTAGGTGAATGGCTTAGGAAAGGAAGAATGGCTGGATAGAAAGTGAAGCCTGAGTAGAGAGGAGCCGCTGTCTCCTTCCCCTCATGATCTCCCTGACGTCCATCCTGTGTGCCTCGCCAGCCTCCATCACCTCCAACACCCAGCAGGGATTGGCTTCCTCTGGAAGAACTGAATGGGAAAGATTTTTGGCAGTGGAAGAAAAGGGAGTTGTTGATCCTTCAATATGCTCCGCATTGCAGGTCTCAAAGAGCTTTCACATACATTTTCTCACTCATGATTCACAATCACCCTGCCAGGATGAGGGAATTACCCAAGTTTTCCAGATGGAAACATGGTGCCTCAGGGCGGGAAAGTTACTTCCCTAAAGCCAAACACCTGGAAAACGTGGGCAGGATTCCAGCCCAGATCATTCCAACTCCAGGGTGGTCAATGATCTCCGAGTCTGCATTTCTCAGCCTGGACCACATGCTGCCTTTATAGGGGATGGAAGTAGAAATGGTGACTGGGGCAAAGTCCAGGGTTGCTCTTTAAGAGTGGGGATGCTGGGGTTAGTGTACCAGACCCTAACTCTCTCCAGATTCCTCTTTAAATTTCTGCATGAAAAGAAGCCAGGTGCAAGCCGCCAGAAACACTCTTATCTGCTCATAGGAATGATGTAGCATAACTCACAAGAAGAAAGGCTCAGAATCCTACAGGGGCCAGCGGACCTTATAGACAGTGGGTCTCAAATTTTCATCCTTTCCACCACTTAATACAGACCACCAACTTCAGGTAAATTTTTTTTAATTCATCATGTTTTAAATAATTATTTAATTCTTTAAGGTTAATAATAATGAATTTTTCTATCTTGTATCTTTGAGAGGAAATTCTTTCACAATCTTACATCAAGGGCTCCATATCCAAGACAGTGACAGCATGAAACATGTACTTTATCAACCTGTCACTTTCTATTTTCACTCTTTATTTGCATTAAGTTAGAAAATCCTCTCCATTAAACGACATCTGAAGTTGCAGCATGTTTGGAGGCTCTGTCAGAGATTCAGTCCTGGCTAATCAGACTGAACGTGGACTTCAAAATCATGGAGAGTTTTTTTTTTTCACTGATGACTGCTCTCCGGTGCTCATGGGGCTGCCCATCATGCTCAGAACCTGGGGAGCTGAAAATTTCTTCTGAGACGTTTCATCCTGAGAGAGAGTGATGGTTGGATTTCTGGTCCACTCAGTTGCTTTGTCCTCTGGAAAATATTTCTTCATGTCCTGTTGCAGTTTGGGAAAATGGCTTTTAAACCTGCCAAAAAGAGCTTTTCTACATTAAAAAAAAAATCTCTTGTGAAATTAAGAGGAAAAAAAAATCAAGCACTTCTTCGTTTGTGTGTGACCTGTTTTCCAAGCTTGCTTCCTACTTACCGCTGGTTTGTTGAATTGTTAAGTGAAATATGTGCTCGCCCAAATATGTCGTAGATCTTGCTCAGTTGCATGGGGTGACTTTGCTCCTGTACTGATGCAGAAGCATAACAAAGAGTTTTGAACAGGAGTTTTGTTGTGAAGGTCTTAATTTTAGTTTTAATGAAGTCAAATGTATGAATAGTATACAGCGAGGGCTCTTTTATCTTGTTAAGGAAACCTTCCCTAGGTCAACATCAGAGATCCATTCTACTATATCATCTTCTCAGATCTTTAAAGTTTTGTTCTTCACACCCAAGTCCTCAATCTGTCTGGAATCTTTTGTGCATGGTGTGGATCTACTTTTCCTCCATGGACACTCAGTTGTGCCAGCATCATTTCTCCGCAGGTCTCCAACATGACCTCAGACATATATCAAAGTTCCATATGTGCCTGGCACTTTTTCTGAGATCTCTTCAGTTACACTGGTCGTTTTGTCTATATCCCTGTGTCAATCCCACACAATCTTATTATAATATTAAAATATTACAGCTTTGTAAGCTAGTAAGGCAAGCGCTCCCACCTAATTTTTTTTTCAGAATCTCCTGACTATTCCTGGCTTTTGTACTTTTTAAAATCAACTTGCCAACTTCCACACAGAAAAAAACCAAAAAACCACCTTCTGATATTTGGATTAGAATTGCATTGCATCAATAGATCAATTTGTGGCTAATTTAATGTCTTTACAATATTGAATCTTCTTATCCGTTAGCACAATGTATCTCTCTATTTAATTAGGTTTCCTTTAAAGATTTTATGATTTTCTTCAAAAATGTCTTGTACATCTTTTGATAAAATTTATTCCTAAGTATCTTATACTTTTTGGTTCCAATTAAATGATGTCTTCTTTTATTTCACTTTTAAACCATTTCTTACTAAACCCTCATTATTTCCGATAATTTATCTTCAGATTCTTTTGAATTTTCCATGTGAAGAATCATATCACCTGCAAATAATGACAGGTTTGTTTCTTCCTTTACAATTGTTATGCCTTTCATTTCTTTTTACTGTCTTGTATCCCAGGCTAAGACCTCCAGTACAAAGCTGAAGAGAATCAACAATAGTGAGCATTCTTGTCTTAGTCAAAGGGAAGATTTCTAACACTTCCTCATTTAGAATAATGTATGATAACAGGTTGCTACATAGATTTACTTAATTAAGTTAAGGAACTCCCCTTTTATTTCTAGGTTTTGTTTTGTTTAATCAAAATGTGAAATTGAATTTTGTCAAATAATTTTTCGGTGTCAGTTAAGATAATCGTATGGTTTTTCTTCTTGAATTTGTTAATGTGGTTAATACAACATGAAATTTCTCAATTTAAATCACTGGAATTTCAGGGATTAATGTTTTAGCTTTTTATACACTACTGTTTGTCAATGTTTAATGTGGGATTTTTGGCATCTGTGTTTGTGAGTTAGGTTGGTTTGTGATTTTCCTATCTTGTTTTTCTTTTTAATTGAAGTACAGTCAATTACAATGTGTCTATCTCTGGTGTACAGTACAATGTCCCAGTCATGCATAAACATTCATATATTCATTTTCATATTATCTTGGTTTCTTTAATCAGTCTTACAGGCCCTGTAGAAATAGTTGGAGATGGTCTCTTCTCTAAAATATTGCAGAATTCATTAAAAAACTCTCTGGGTCTGGTGTTTTCTTTGTGGGGGAATTTCTAAGGGCGGCTTAACTATTTTAGTGCTTCTAGGACCATACAGGCTACTGACCTTGAGGCAGCTTTGCTAAGTTATATTTCTCTAGGAACTTTTTCATTCTGTTTATTTT